TTGGGCTAAAGCAAGACTAGGAGTTTGAAACCTGTTGGGAAGAAGGACATAGCTTCAGTCCCTTAGAAAAAACAGGCTTAAACCAAAAAAAAAAAGAAAAAAGGAGGGGAGAAAATGATTGTAAGCCTGCCAATACTCAGAAGTTATATAAAATCACTCATGTAATCACAAACTGAGAGCAGAGTCCTCAGGAACTTGAAGACACCGGCTGTACGTGGTCAAAATTCATCATGAGTTTCCGAGGAACTACTCAAAGTCACAGCACTTGGGCTATAAAGCATTTACACAAGCACATAAAAAGGAAGCTCTTTCCAAAGTAGGAAAAGAGGCGCCACAAAACATAAAAATCTCTCTCTTCTGCGCTGACAGCAGACTCTGGTGTGACCTACCACCCCTGTCCTCCTGCCCCTTCATCCACTTGGGTTTCCACAGCAGCAGAATCAATCCACCCAACCTTAGAGCAAATTCATGGCCAACTGCTGCTCTCCTGGAGCTGCTTTGGCACCGTCCACCTCTCCACACGTGTATTTTGTCTGGCACCAGGAGTTTGCTGAAGAACATACAGCTGAGCAGGGTGAGATGCTGCAGCATCTCAGCCCTAGGTACGTGGATGCTTTCTCCGGCTGTCCTCTTGGCAGTTACCGCAGCGCTCGAGGTCCCTGCCCCAAGCCCCGCAGACTTTTCATCCCAGTACAAGCATAGACTCCTGGAGAAACCGAATAAATGTCATTTCTCTGGCAGCAAATGTGCCAGCAGAGAAACGCAAACCCATCCTTCTGTAGGCATGGTTTCTGTGTTTGAGGGGCTGTAGGAGGGACGGTCAGAGGGAGGTTTCAAAGGGATTTATGCACCTTGCAGGTTGGGAACCCCTCCTGGGCCTTGATTTCCCGCCTGTGAAATGGGCTGAATGATACCCAGCCAACTTTGTAGAGAGCTTTGCTTTTCATCAGTCCACTTCCATGTCTAGGAGACTTGTGCACCACCCTCACCCTGCTGCTCTGGGGCCTCTGGAGCTGTCAGTCTGAACCAAAATGTCCATTAATCCATCGGGAATTTGGCAGTATCATGTAACTAACCCCTGAAACGCATGTGGTACCAACGTTTGCCACCGTGCACCAGAAATACAGCATTAGCACACACCACCGAGTCCTGCTCAAACTTCTGCCTTATTCATTTTTGTCAGTTGCTCCTCAGTTTATTTTGCAATTATCTCTGCAATTCCCGCTGAAAGACAGGACACAATTTAAAGAACTTGAACAATTTTTTCAAACTTGAATGGTCTTTACCCAAAAGAAGCCAGAAGGAAGCCTAAGCACTCAAATACACTGCAAGAGTCCCAGTCCTCAGACAATACTCCATGAAACGGGAGCTTTAGTTTTTTCTTCATTCAGCAGACTGAAAGCTCATCAAATATAGCAAAGCACTAGCCTCTCCCTGGTCAGTCTATACTTGAGACTGGTTCTATCTTTTCAAAAGCTCTTTTCAGTTACACATTAAAAAAAATCTGTAAGGACTGTACCTAGAACAGCTTTAAAAATTGTTCGTACTTTCCCTGAGAGCTTACGTCAACTCATTGGACGGAGGAGCCAAGAGGACAACAAATATTTCAGGGAGCATCCGTTGCACATAAATATTGCCCCCTGACACAGATGCACCGTGAATACAATTACATCCTCACATCAATTACTAGTACACTCCAGAAACACTGTTTGGAGAAAACAAATAAATAAACAAACGTAAGCTTGAAATAAGGAACTATTTGACATTCTAGCAAGCCGCTTCACCTTATAATCATTATTTCCTGAGACACGTTGTGCTGGTTCGTATTCCAATAACACATTTGTGTAACCGCACAGGTACAAGGGAAGCGTACAAATCATGTCTCGCAAAACAACTGTTGGCAAAGAGCAGGATTTGTGTATTCATCGCTCACCGCTGAACAGTCACATACATTTTAATTCTGACTTCAAACACAATTTGGACAATGGCAGATGTTTCCTATAGCGCAGGCTTCCTTTGGATGAGAGTTAATTCAGTTTGAACATGGCAGCAATGAGGAAAGGGATTTAAACAAATATTTTCTGCTTCCTCTCTAAGCTTGATACTGCAGAGGGAAAAATGAGGGAGTACTAAATTGAACAGCTAAACCTGCCTCTCCCAGCCTCGGCTCTGAATTCAGACCAGCCCAGTAAGCCTGCGCTTCCCTGCAACCAAAGACTCCCCTCTCCGTGACACCAGCCTGTGTCGAAAAGAAATTAAATTATTTTAATGAGGTTCTTCCAGATGCACACTGATGTAACCGAGGAGAATATGCCTCTTCTTTTAGGCTGCTGAAGTTTCACCAAAAAAGGTGGCATGCTCCTCTGCAAAACTCTTCTTCCTCTCCCTTTGTTATCCTCGGCAGCTTTGTCCTGTTACTCTACATTAACAAGTGGATCGTTATTTCACCAGCCGTAATCAAAACCTTCCATAAGATAAGATCCAACTGCAAATCTACATTCACATAGTTGCCCATACTGAAGAGTCCTGAAATGCTCTTAACGAGTTGCATGCACAGGGATTTTCTCTTCACCTATCAGCGGAATGGGCTTGGGAAGTGACAGCTGCTTAAATAGCGCACATGCAGCGGAGTAGTTTAAGGGGAAAAGAAATACTATAAATAATTGAAATCACAGCAAGAAATGTAGGCAGAGCAGAGGGAGAGAGGGCAACTCAGAGGAAGCTGGCAGCAGGAGGAGAGATAAGGACTTCTCCTGGAAGCCAAACTAAACAAGAGTGCACGTACAAATAATCCACACCTTCTCACCTGTGCGCTACGCCACACACCAGCAGACAAAAGAAGTTCTTGACCTTTTCTGCACCGTTTGGCAATCTGAATTTTACCCACCTACGAGCCCTCTCTTGCCAACATCTTCCCCTTTCCTCCTCTCCACCAAACCTGTAAGTCTGATGCAAACGGTCCCCACGGTTGTCGTCGGCACTGCAGCAATCTTGATCACCAAATGATGCTGATAAGTAGATGTGGATTTTAAATGGCCAATTCTGCCACTGATGACTGCCTCACCTACACGGACCCACTTCTCCCAGCCCAGCCTTTCATGGTGAAGCTATGTGGAAGGCTTCCCCATGCACCCGGCATGTTCAGGGCACACCAGAGAGGATCCTGCTCTCAGCTGGAGCTTCTGAGCACCACGGGGTCACCATCAGGGGTAGCTGCAGAAATGACCACCTTTGGTTTGAAGGCTTTAAGAATAATTAATCAGCGCTCTGGAACAACAGATGAATGCTTGAAGTTTCAATCCCAGCAGTAAAACACTTCCTTTGATGCCCACAGCTGCTATGAAGGGCTAAGGATCGTCATTTTGCCTGACCTTTAACTATTACAGCAATAGTTCTTGACCTGCATTTTAGAAGTTATGAACCACAGCACTCAGGCTAAGCGATCTGCCACTGTCTTGACAGATTTCCAAAGAGATGTGAAATATGTGCCTTTCTCAAGTGACTTGAATGATGCACACACAGACATCCAGAAAAAACACACTATTTCTCTCTGGGTACAACTCACACAAGCAGGAGATGGCAGGAGATAGTTTATTATGCTCTATGGAGGTAACACTTGGCACAACAGCTCCAGGTACCACTTCATCACAGCACAGGGCGGAGGAAAGGAGACTTCAACTAGCAACTCAGCTAACCAGACACCTTTAACGAGGAGCAAGTAATGAGATTTCTTAGCGAGTGGTTCATTCAAAGGGCATGCAGGGATATCAAGAACCAGGTAAAAATCCCCATTAAGGTCTCTGTGGAAGTCAAGAGCATGTAGGAGGGCTGGTGTTCTCGGCGATAAGATGGATATCTTGCCTTACACAGCAATCGATCGATTTTTAGGGGTCAACTGCCAGACCTCACCAGACTCCTCTTGCAGAACGTCGGCAGTTTTAGGGCAAAAGCCTGTGCCAGGCACCACTGTTAAAGTTCAGCCCTGCTCCTAGAGCCACAGGGCTAGTAACTGTGACCAGGAGGTGAAGAAACCTTGATACTGACTCTTCTGTGTAAGCAATTCAGTTTAAGAGCTGCTGTTCAAGAAGCATGTCACCAAGATGAAAGGTGACCACATTTCTTAAATGTAATTCGTTTCTTAAAGACCCTTCCAGAGGCAGCAAGGATCCCATGTACCCTCTTCTCTACACACAGCCCTACTAGGCGAGTGCCTTATCTGGATGTGCCTAATTGCATCAGACCCTCTTGCAGGCTACCTCTCCCAAATCCAAGTCTGGTATGGGAGGGCTGCGCTTCATGTGCCTCTAAGGACATCCTCAGGTTGGGATAGGCAAGTGACAGCTCATGGTGGTGTGAATGGCAGATCTGGTGTCAAGAGCAACTTCCAGTCCACAGCAAAAATAGACATACCAACTCCTTGGATTTCAGTGCAAGATTGGCCCTCGTAACGTCTCCGTGCCACGTGAAGGAGATTGGAAACCCAAGTCCACCTTGGACAGGACAGCATTTCTTGTTTGACTTCTCACTAAAAGCAAGGAAGCCCTTCTGTACTTCCAAAAGACATCTGAACCTTAACTGTACTGCCATGCCAGCAAGAAAAGATGGGAACCTTGTGATTCAAGAGGGTCTACCGCTGAGAAACTACATTTGGGCACTCTCCGTGTGGTGAATGATGGCGTCTTTCCCCGACGAGGCAGCCATGCACAGCATCTGTCCTCCAGCGTAAAGGGATGATACTGACTGCCCATCCTCCTCTTCCAGCTGGAGGATGGCTCGTGGGCAGCCGTCTCAGTTGAAGTCCCCAGACCTGGCTCCCGTTGTTGGATGCACAGCCTGGCTCAGCGAAGGATGCTGCAGCCGGTTCAGGCATGCCTCGGTTCGCTTAGTGTGAGGCTGGAGAGAAACGACTCTCTGACAGCTGGCAAATGCAGCTGCCTGCAGCTGATGGGGGATAATGAAGAACCAGCCGCTTCTTAGAAGTGTATTTCTGTCGCCCATACCTCCGAACAGCAGATTTCCTCTGACCACGGGGTCGTGGAGAACAGAGATCCCGTAACGCAGATCTTTGAACGCTGTTAACTGATCCAACCCCATCCAAATGTCACGGTTCCTGTCAATACAAAACTGTTCCTTTCTCTTCCTGCCATCCTCCACTTCATCCATGGGGCATCCATTAGGTTCAACACAAAGGCAGCAAAGAGCCTACAACAAGAGCCTCATTAACTGACTGTACAACTGTGTTTTGGAGCACAGTGCTGTCCCCCACACTGCAAGGCAGAGAGCTCTTGCTGGGGGAAAAAAAAATGGATCAAATTAAAAAATATCTTGCATACCTTAATATTGCAAGCAGCTCTTCCGTCAGACTTAAAACAACAGCATTACCAGCTGTAAAAGGGAAAAAAAACCCCAGGAAGTCTCCCAAAACAGCAGCCCAAATGAAAAAAGAAAAGGATGAAGGAGGTTTCAAATCCACCCTGGAGAGAATGTGTGTCACAGCTTTAACCTGCTGCAGGGAGGGGGAAAAAGGGAAACAGGATAGCAGAGACCAGAAATCAGATTTATTAGGACCAACCAGGTAGATAAAAGATAGATGATCACCAAGTGATGATGGCTATTTTGGAATCAGCTAACTTCTGAAAATGTCTAGTCAGCTTTAGCATTTCAAACACACGAAATTAGTGTCCACACAAGAGTACTCTCCTGAAAGGACAGGATTTAATGCAGCCGAGATAATTATCTAGATCCTTCTTTATCCCATTAGTGGTTTTCATTCGCATCCTGGAACACCATAAGCGGATTGTTCAAGAATTATTTGCCATCCACTGTATCAATCCTGATTGGAATTATCTTTATACCTTGGTATGAAGAAAAGAGATCACATCCCTGCCAGGGCTTGCTGCAATGCCCTCTTTTCTGAGCCTCCTTTTATCATTTTTGTTCTATAAGGTGATGAAAAGAATTAGAAAACAATTGTCACAGACATGATTTTGCCCTCTCCTCCTCTTCCTTTCCCACGCGTGTGTTTGTGAGGAGGAGGACACCCTCTTCCCACCGCATCCCCTGCAGGAGATGCAGCACTGCACCTGCACAGAGATGAAGCTCAATGAGACTTAGTCATCAAATTACCCAGGACAGGATCATAAAACGCTCCCAGCTTCCTTTTGCGCCACGATCCACTAATAAAAGAACAAGAATGAAACTGTTAAAACCAATTAAACAAATCACTTGATGCAAGAGAAAGAAGTGGGATTCACTGCAACTAGAGATCCCAGGGGCATATGCTAAACATCATGTTTCGTGCTCTCTAGTAATATATGTCACTATGGGAGCTCCGATGGAGATAAAGCTAACATCATTCCAACAGCCAACACAATCCTTTGCTTCAAGGCCTAAAACAACAAGAAGACAAAATTCCCCTCCCAGCCACTCTAACCGCCTGCCAGGTTTTGTATTAATGGAAGAATTACATCTCCTTCCAGGTATGGCGAGGACACAGCTCGTCTCTCCACGGGCATCCGCGAGTCTGCCCAGCAGTGGGGAAAGATGCCTGGCTGAGACAAAAACTATCCCTTCTCCTTATAGAAATATAAGGAGGTAGGTATTCAGACGTGACATAAATAGGAATGCATATATTTTTTTAAAAATTATGTTTTACAGCTGCACAATGAGATCTGTAGGAGCGTTATCTTTATAAACAAGTTATTAAAAGGGGGAGGAGGGACACAATAATAGCAGACGCCAATTACTCAGCTCCCAGCAGAGACTTTCCAATTTCTCACCTTCCCCCAAAGCAAGATGTGCCGCTGTACGGCAGCACATTTACTTGCAAGTGTAACACCCTTTTGGAGTATTGCTTCTCTCCCACAAAGCAAAGCTGCATTGCTGCTGTGCCGCTGCCGGAGAGGGGCAGCCCATTTCCCCACCAACCCTGCCCGAGAGTTGAGACCAATACGAAAGCAGAAAGTAAATAAAATTATCTTTTTATTTGACTCCAGAATCTGGCCACTCCTCCTGCCAACAGGAACAGCAAATTTGTGAGCTAATTGCGAGTGCCAGGTTCGCATCTCTGCAAATATCTGCTTAGTTTCAGGAACAAAACGCCAGTAACGATTTTGTTATTTTAAGACAGAGGCATAGTTTTAGACAGTAAATGTCCACATTGCAACTGGAGCCGTCAGAGAGATCCCATCCTTTGAGGCAAGCACACCAAGGTAATGATTAATATTACAAAAGTAATCTGAGCCTTTAAAATCATTATTTCCAAAATCAGCAAATCATTACCAAGGCCATCAGCAATCAATACCCAAGATAAATAGACAATTAAATTGCAAAAGAAACAGAAGAAAGTAGTTAATATTTGCCAAACACAAGCCAAATACGCTCTTTCATGGTAACCAAATACTTCCAGTAAATAGATATTTTAGCTCACTGGAGAGGCACTTTCAGAAAGTAATAAATTAATCTAATAAAACAGACAGACAGGGTGGAACCAGACATTAACAACACACAAACTGATGTATACGGAGCCAACCCACAATCCATGTCCTAATTATGCTCATCCACCATTCTGGGTACTTACCTCCCCCACCCAGGTCAGCTCTTTAGCTCGGGGAAAAAAACATGTTTCATGCAGCTTCACTGGCACAACAAAGCAGAGAATTTCAGCCATCAAATGACGAAGTTTGTGCTCAGCTAGAATTTGCATTTCCAGTTTTTGTTCTAAATACCTCTCGCTCCCCCAAGTCAGCAAATTAATCTGCTTTTAAATACAATTCTTGCTTTGCCTTCAACTTAGTTTAAGCTCCATCCACGAGGTGCGGGATGAGCTCTCGCCGCCTGGCAGTGCCAGCCACCCACACATGATGCCTGCGTGAGCATCCCCATGGCACATCCCCACCCTGGAACCGGGAGGGCTCGTCCCGGGGGGCTGCGCCCTGCCTCGCCATCACTCCGGGGACCCGGAGGGACTCGCAGCAACCCCAGACACCCGGTGCAAGGACCAGCACCACCTCCTCCCCGGGCAGCCCAACCTTTACCAGCTTCTACCCAAAATCATTGCTTGGAGTTAACGAAGCCACACTAATAGGTGAGCATCTGGTGAACTTCTTCAAATGGTGGGTAACTTGAACTGGACAAGATTAAGAGAGGGAGAGACGTGTGGGAAGACGTCCATCCTGGTCATTTTCTGCCACATCAAAGGAAGAAGGAAGGGAGGAAACCGGGGGAAATGGAAGACAAAGAGAAAAGATATCAAAGCCAGCTCTGGAGAGCGTGCAATGAGAGATGGCACGAAAAAGGAATAGTTAAAACACGAAAGCCAAGATCAAATAAAAGCAAAAGATCACAGTCTGGGTGCAGAGAGGAGGGAGGGGAGACCACCACACCGCTTTCGCCAGCATTAACTGAATAATTCATTTGACAGGTACTTGTCTGTGGCAGAGGTTGAGCCTGAGAGAGTCCAACACCGTCCAGGTCCATCCATCCACCAGGTAACAATCAAATATTGTTCTTGCTCTTCACATCCAGCACGGGGACACACCATGGGGACACCACACAGCGGCTCCACTCCCCTAAGCGCCCGTCTTTTGGGGAGGAATACAGCAATTTCTGAGCCTCACTCAGAAAACTTCTCCAGCTTCTTCTGTATGAAGTTCTTGGTACTGGCAGGGTTAGTGTTGCCACTGTGCTTTCACTAGAACAGGCTATGCAAATGCGCAGTGCTATTACACATATCTTAAGTAGCTCATATCTCAGTATTGGAAGTTTCTCTTTGATTATTTACAAGGGCTTTTGAAGGCTACACAAATTTTTTGGTACCACAGGCCTCCTATCTAAGCCATGAAATTCCTTGGAGCAGTGACAATACATAGAGGATTTATTGCAGCGTACGTACAAGTAGCGAGTGGCAAAAAAGAGTCTCCAGCTTAAACCTTATTTCCAGAAAGCTCTCACCATCACAGGGAGAGGAAAAAAAACCTATATGCTCTAAGGCAGTCTCAAATATGTGATCAGGATGGTCTAAAAACTCACTGAGGAACAGGTGTGGGCCAGGCAGCAGCACTGACACAAGCCAACGCCGTGCTCTTCCCCCAGTTCAGCATCCATCCCACTACCAACAAGTCCTAAACACCCAGTGCAACAATTATAGTTACAAGTAAATGGACACTGCAACTCAACAAAACTCATAGTGAAAGTAAAAGACAGGTAGAGATTAATTTTTGCACAGAAGCTTCTTTAAAGCCTAGCAATTTACATTTTAATGCTACTGCTGTCCACTTTAATATAAGCAGAAATGAAAATATCTTGCACAAATGTGTCTAGTCACTTCAAAATACAGATTAACCTTTAGGTAAGTATTTATCCTATATGTTGCACAAGAGGACAGGAATATTTAAATATTAGGGGAGTCATTCCAAGGCAGGGGCGGGCAGGAGGGAAGATGGAATTACGGAGCCGTCTCTGCGCATCAGGGACACGTCCATGCTAATGCACGGATCCTGGAGACTCGAATGTGACTTGACACCGGGACAAAAACAGAATGAGGAACGGCCAGTGCCACAATTAACGCAGAAAGAGATGATTTAAAACAGAAATCTGCCCCTCCCAGATATTCTTGCTTTGCAAGACAAGCCTGATGTGAGCTCAAAAACAAACCCAAGAAGGGCATCGCTGAATAAAAAGCCCCCTACACTTCAATTCAAATAAAAAAGGTGGAAAAAATGCATTTCCCTCCATCAAAGACTACCATCCTCTCCCCGAATCAGGAAGCTGTTAAGCTGATGCTTGATCAGCACTGCCCGAAAAGCCTCTCCTCCTAACAGCGTTAACCTGCCAGCCCCCGCTGAAGCCCTTCGTTTATTTTAATAGTTTCCATAATCCTTTAATTAGACCAGTGACTTCTGCCGCCGTGACAGCCCTCTTCACCCACCGAGCCCCGCCGACCTCTTGGGCTTTGTCTCGTGAAAAACAAAATGTCAGCATTAGAATTGGCATGATAATGATACGGAAAATCTTCACGCGAAACATAAAGCTTCATCTCCAAATACTTTTAGGCAGGTGGCTCGGCCCCACCTCTGCAAAGGTTTCCTGCGAAGCGACGGGCGGCTGTGGATGCCCGTGCCGAGCCAGGCACCCCAGGACGGATATTTGTTCGTGTTTCTTTA